TCAAAGGAAGAGAGCTCGGTGACAGTTAATTTGGGGAGTTGGCTAACCAGAAGGAGGGCACTAGCATTTCTGCTACACTAACCATCACATTAAATAATATACACATTAAAAAAAAAAAAATCTTAAAACTTAGTACCTGTCACAAAGCAGTCAAAAGAGTGTAAATCTACTCCAGTATTCTCCCGTAAAATTCTTACCACATGCTGTTTTCCTTTATGATAAAATCCAAACTGAAAGATAACCAGCGTTATGGGTACTACTTGGAAATAAGCCATACAAACGCCATTCTCTGAGGTTTATTATCATATTCTGTTCCTTTTTTTTTTTTTATGCTGGTGACAATTCACAACCCACCAACTCTAAATAACTGCTCCACAGCAGAGCCCACATCCACTGCTTTAGACAGTTACCTGTATCAGCTGGAGGGAAAGGGGATTCTGAATGGAATGTAACTGCATTCAAAGTCAATTCTGGAATCCAAACTTTTAGAGGAATCTAACAAGGGCTAAGTGGAGAATTATAGTAAGAAAGTGACAGCACTAGAATTTAAAGCATGTGGGACAAGAATTCGGAAATCTTGGGGTCGAAAGCTTCCATCAGCACACCACATGCAGGACCAGGCATGACCTTTAATGCAGAAACTGTTCCTCCTCCATCACACACAACAACCCTTAACAGCACCCCGCCCACTTTTGCTTCCAGACCTCCAAAGGCAAGCTGCTAGTAAAATTGCCCTAAAGGGGCACAGAGACACGCAACAGGAACATCAAGGGTTAGAAAAGAATCCAACAAGAGTGCTCTGTCAAAAGATTCAAAACACATGCACATTTAAAATGCATGTAGAGCTTTGGAAAATTAACTCAATCCTAAGGAGCTGGGCTGGACTGGAGTACTCTTTAAAGATTTTATTTGAGAGAGTGAGTGAGAGTGCGCGTGTGTGCAAGAGAAAGAGAGAGAGCGCACAGGAGGAGAGGGAGAAGCAGACTCCCCACTGAGCAGAGAGCCCCATGCGGGGCCGTATCCCAGGACCCTGAGATCATGACCGGAGCCAAAGGCAGACGCTTAACCAACTGAGCCACCCGGGCGCCCCTGGACTGGAGTAGATGCCCTCCAGGTCTGCTGTAGGAACAAGTAATAGAACTCAACTCACTCACAAACCAAAAGGAAAGGGAATGAAGAACGTTAAGAAAACCAACAACACAGAAATCTTAAACCTAGACTACAGTTCTAGCAGAATAAAACTGGACTTTGGGCATTATGCTAAGTCAAATACATGGTGCTATGGTGAGGGTGGATTACTAAAAAGCAAGCCACAGCCAACTGGACATTGGTTGTAAATATTACTGCAGTTACATCTATATCCAAACAGCACGGCTCCTTGGATTCCTTATTCACTCTTGCACAGCTTGAGAGGGGAAATGAGGCAGAGGGAAAATCAGGGCAATAATCACTCACTCCAGAAGGGGGTAAAAGGTACCTACTCAGTGTGACTGCCAAGAGTTGGGCTGTGACTCACACAAGAAGCTGTTCTGGTCCAGAAAGAATCATACACTCCCTTCAAACGGCTGGCTTTCTCAGAAGGAAATTCTAGGAGAGGATCAACTGAAAACACACTCAAGGTTTCAACTAACTAAAAGGGGACTTGCCTTCATTTTAGAATGATTTAGACAGATTCCTGTATCAGCCGGAGGGAAAGGGGCCTAAATTAGGCCTAAACGAGCTCTTGTGGGAGGCCAGGACACCAAACTCACTCTCAGGGACAATCTGGCTCTTAACAAGGAATTTAGTTCAAGAGGGGGAAGAAACTAAGATAAAGCACTGGAAGTAAAATATTACTCATAGCTTACATTTAAAGAGCACTTTGAATTAACAGGCTCTTTGCTAATAAGCACTTTATAGACATTACTTAACTTCATAACCCAGTGAAGATTATCATTATCCACATTTTTAAGTGAGAAACCCACAAGTCCAAACAGTGAGTACTTCAGAGGCCTAAATTGGGAAAAAAATTTTCAGGATCCAGGTAAACACTGCACTAGTGTGTATTAGGTATACAGCTCTTGCCAGATATGGAAGTTAACAGTTAAACACATCACAAGTAACAAAATAACTCATTAAATTGAATCCAAAGTATAAAATCAGGACCATCCTTAGAATGATGCCTTAGCCAAGGCTCATCTGCACCATTTCCCCAAACTAAGGGAACTCTCCAGTAAAGGGAGTTTAAAGTACTTTTCATTATGGAATATAATCCAGATGATGTCACTGAATTAACCAAAAAAGGTGCCCCTAGCCAAATATCTTAACAATAAAATACTAAACAGGAACTGTTTCAAAATGTACCGTGAAAGGCTTCCACACATCTAGGTTCTCCATGATTTATTTCACAAAGCAAAGGCTCATTCCCCACCTCATAAGCTGCACTCGAACTTTTTCTAAAGGTCTCTGTCCCCAGGCTTGCCCTACCAATTAAAGTTTAAACTGTTTAAGGGGAAAGGTCATAGCAGACCTATAAATAACGTGTTCCAACACTGTACTAAGTTACTTATTACAAAATAAACATACAATAAACCTTAAGTCTAGGAATTTGATGGCATTTGGTATTTGATGGGTATTTGATGATTGAGTCAACTTTTCGTTCTGGCTTTATACTAATAACACTAAAGCTCCAAAGCAATAGCAATCTTGCTAAGGTATAAATCTGAATTCAATGCCGGGGCAGGCTAGAAGACAGGAGACAATTGCTCACCTATAACAACAAGCACCCAGCAAAATTTGGCAGCATAGTTTATTTCTATACTAAATAATTCTTAGGTGATTTAAAAAAAAAAAAAAAACTTTCTTCACTAATGTGACCCCCACCCCTCAAGAAAGCCAACAGAGTTCTAAGGTTTGCAGAAAGAACCTAACAGGCCTTAATAAACAACAACAACAAAAAAGGCTCATAAACAAAAAATTTACTAGGTGTCACACAGAGCAGTCACTCAATTTTTGTCAGGAACAAGTTTTTATAGGAGAAAGTATAGGGAGTTTGGAAATCCCAGAGGCCTCAAGAAGTTATTTCACAGTTGTTAAGGATTTGCTGTAGGAGGGAAGGGAGAGGAGTAAATTAATTATAAAGTCTGTGAAAGGTGTCCGGGGTTGGGGGGCTCAGTCAGTTGAGCATCTGACTTTTGATTTCGGCTCAAGTCATGATCTCAGGTTTGTGAGATGGAGCCTTGCGCTAAGTGTGGAGCCTGCTTAAGATTCTCTCTCTCCTCTCCATCTGCCCCTCCCCCTGCACGCTCTCTATCTCTCAAAAAAATAAAAAATAAAATGTTTCAGATACTGTCAGAGAAAAGTCAACAAAACTTCCAGATTCACCTCTCAAACAATAACCTGCTAAAAGTTTCACAAAATTCTTCATCAAATACTGTTTGATCACGTTCCCGTGAGGACTTAATCTTTGCAGATGTTAATTTCCAAGGTGCCAAATATCAATTGGAAACTAGGTTTTAAAAAGCCAAAGAAAAGGGCACCTGGGTGGCTCAGCTGGTTAAGCGACTGCCTTCGGCTCAGGTCATGATCCTGGAGTCCCGGGATCGAGTCCCGCATCGGGCTCCCCGCTCGGCAGGGAGCCTGTTTCTCCCTCTGACCCTCCCCCCTCTCATGTACTCTCTCTCTCATGCTCGCTCTCTCAAATAAATAAATAAATCTTTAAAAAAAAAAAAAGCCAAAGACAGATTAAATCAACACTTTTCTTGCCATTTCATGCCATTCTGCACACAGAAGGAAAAGGCACAGAAGTCTAAATGAAAAGCCTGCTTACTCTGGTTCTTTAAAAAGTTCACTGGCTCCAAGGGACATGCAAACAGTTCATAAATAAATTGCTGTTATCATAATATGCACTTCAACGCACATCGTAATGGTATCTATACTTTGGGCTAAAAAATCAACAGAGTAGTTTTTATCCTGGAACATGAATGCAATGCCACTTAATTCTTAACCTAGTTTTTAGGAATTTAAAGACATCTAGTAAATAATAAAAATTTAATACAACCAACCAGAATTCAATCTCAATACACAGAAAGAAACTTCGTTCTTGCTGCTTTAAATGCACTTCTGGAGTTTGAAATTCCAGTTAATGGTCAAGTTCTACAAGTATTTACTGCTAAGGCTAATTCTTTTATATTTAATTTATACCTGAGCATGTAATTTAAAAATCTCTTATCAAATCTTTGATGAACCAAGTCTATAAAACAAATAAAAATCCAGTTTCACCTAAAGTTTCCATGAACTATTCAAAGAATTCTTCGTAAAGAATCAAGACTAAGCGAACCTACAAAACCCACTATAACAGTGAATTTTACCTTTTTTAAACTTTATTCAGAGATGCCCAGGTAAACCTTTCTACCTACAATCGACACCTCTCTTGAAGTTAACATATTTTACTCAGTAAGAAACATCTAAAATATGGCCAACTACCTGACAACTGTTACTGCTAAAAAATACTCCAATAGCATAGAGGGGGGGAAAAAAACACACCTTTTTGTCAGGGTACAGCAGGAAAACATAATACAGCCTTTTCTTCACACTTAAATTCATTACTTGTGACTGAATAATGAAATCATCATTGCTAAACTAGGATTATTTTTTTAAACGAGAAATCCTTGCCAAGGGTTTCCCAGTAAGACAGACCATGAGCATAACCACAGCATTTTAACAAGTTTACCAGGACCGAATTGAAATTTCCAGGATCGGGGATCTCACAGATTCCCCAAGGTTCTTCCAAGTGATTCATTCCACTATCAACCAAGTTTTGGGGAGTCACGGTTCCCTAACAAAGTGCTATTAACACTTAAAAGGAGTTGTTTTCTAACACTTGTATGCACAGTAATGGGTGCCTAATGCTGTATTGTTCTTTTAAAGTTAACTTAATATTTATAGTTAAGTGAAAACTCCTACGCTCTTTTCTCATCATCCCGTAATCTTAAGAAATAAATCACTTTGCACATACTGACCTGAGTTTTCCTCCATCAAATGCCAACTGAGAAAATGTATGGTACCAAGTAAAAATGCACGGGGACAAGTTCAAATAATCTTCCCTTTGTTTATGAGCCATGATTAGACAACAGCTGTAATACCCGTTAGGACGTCTCACTTTAAGCAAAAATATCTCCTCTGACAGTGAAAAGGTTTTGGTCAGTGATTAAGCTTACTAATCTCTTCACACTGAACAGAAAAAAAAGAAGAAGAAGAAAAAAAAAAGACTCGCTAGGATATGAGAAAGGAAAGCGAAAAAAATGTAAAAACTGGCAGGTTTTCGATTTGAAGGTTTCCGATTAGCGCCTTTTACTTTCTCCAGAAGTAGAAGCCGCTCCTGAGAGCAACACCCTTCCGAGGGATGGGAAAAGGAACACACGCTGCAGGGTGTGGACGGCTAGAAGGAAGGCGCAGAGGGCTGCCAGAGGCGAAATCGGTCGGGAAGAGGCCGCCCACCGGAAAGTCCCGGCCGGAGCTCCGCTCCCTTCCCCTTTCTACCCCCCGCCCCCCAAAGCTGCTGGCTCGCTAGACGAAGAGGAAGCACCCTGGTTGCGCACGCAGCCCAACGTCACTGCGTTCGCCCCTCCCAGGAGCGAGACGACGCGCCTGACGCAGCGGGGCGGGGCCTGCCGGAGGCCGCCGCTGTTGACCCGCTGTTACCAAGCGTGCGCACAGCCAATCAGCAGCAGGCGCCGGCGCCGGCGCCGGCCGGCCTTTGAACTCGGCACGGCAACTTCCTGCTGTTTGGCGAGTACACAGTGCAATGCAGTATGTCTGTCAGCGCTGCGGCACAAAGGAACAGCCATTTTGTGACTGAGCTGGACCTGCACCAAGATGCCAGGGGCTCACAGAGCTGCTGCCTGCGCTAACTACCAAGCTGCCCTTTATTTTAGCACCAGAGAACCAAAAAAGGGGAGGCTGGCGGGGGGGCGGGGGGAGTAGTTTTGATGTTTCAAGTTTCCATTCGATTCTCAATCTTCTCAAAAGTCCCGATTCTTAAGAATTATCAGCATCATAAAATGGCTGCCACTTAAAAACTGCCTGTTCAGTCCACAAGCAACTGCATTATGCCATTTCTAATCAGCCCCAGGCTTTTAGAATAACTGCTAAAAGGTGATTAAAAAGCAGATTTTGCCCGCACCGTAGGTTGTCAAAATAATCTGGTTCAAAGGCAGACGATTTAGAGATAAATTTAATAAACTGTCTCAGTTCTTTAGGTAAAACTGCAAACGCAGCGTCCTAGAACACACAGAACTCTTTGTGTGCACAGTTCCATTCACATTCCCTTCTCTCCTGTCTCCACTCTTTATTACTGAAGTTACCCCCAAACTGCCAATTATTTAGGTAAGAAGTGTGTGGCATACGGTTCTATATATGTCCCTCACTAAAACTTTGTTTTAAATATTTAGAAACTTTACAGATATATCAAGAATTTTAAAATCATATTTTTGAAAGTGAACTTTTTAATCTTCAGAAATCACGGTATACAACATGTAACATTTAAAGCATTAACAAAAGAATACAGGAATAACAAACTTTATATAACTATAGTCATGCTTTATTTCCAAAAACAGTGAAGTATCAGGTTTACCTAAACTTGCACTCAAGCTTTTCAGATCCTAAACTAATTCTCAGAACAGAGTTTACTTGACCTGCCAACTCCTCCCTTCCTCTCTTGTGGCTCAGGCTGCCAAAGTGGTTTTTGTAGTATTCCCTAAGCACTAGATTTTGTGCCATAGAAACTAGGTCCTTTACGAAGAAATTCTGATAGATTAAGGACCAAGTACTAGTACCTGAAGTCTCCTGAACTTTAGCTTCCTAAAAATAACAATCTACCACAATAAACACCACTAGCATGCCATTAAGCTTTCCAATTTTAAAAGGAAGTGATGTCATAATTATGTACATGTATTAAGGTATGCAATTTCAGATAACTAATTTAAAACTCCATTTTCAAGGAGTCTGTTTTTTTGAACATTCATCAGGTATGTGAAACTACTTGACAAAATGCATTTAAAAGTACAGTACATGCTTCCTTGTTAAGCTGTAACCCCACTGCCAATAAGTAAATGCATGACAACTTCCAAATAGTTTTCTAGGTGAGTAAATTATTAAAAAAAAAATAGCAACACTGCTTAATTTTTCAAATTAGAAGGCAGTCTCATCAATGATGTTAACCACAAACCTTGCATAAGAAAGCCAAAACCTAAGTGAGACTATGCAAATCATACATACTCGAGGGAGTAACAATTTTAGGTACTGAATCTTTAATAATTTGTCAAATACACCTGGGGATTCCTATTTCTTCAAATTGCCGTTACTTTTCAGAAAAATCAGCTTAGGATTAGTGCAGAAGTTTTCTGTCCTAAATCAAACCTAGATAATTACATGGGCAATTCAGTTCAAGAGACAGCAGTCCAAACTGTATGACAACTCAATTTACAAAAGAATTTGGAAAGGTATTTTTAAAAGCAAGGGTTGAAATATATTAGTATAATAAAACAAACTTCAACATTTGTAATAAACCAGTTCAAAACTTTCAAATTCAATGAATCTAATAAGTATATTACTTCTATAAAATTATAAAAGTAAAAGCAAAACTGGGGGGGAAACTCACATAACCAATGACATCCTTAACTGTAGGATGTAAAATTCATAACAATTTATAAGAACACACATCAAGAAACGCATTCATATGTACTTTAAAAAAAATTAATATACAGCTCATACAACAAAACGTCTAAGAGGCTTTATTACTTAGTCACTAATAAGATACTCCAACAAATGTGAAACAAATCGTGATCTAAACAAACAGTGTATTTGTAAGCTTCAGAAGATAAAGCATTCCAGGCGACTCTGTCAAAATAAATCAATAAATTTAAAGCTGCTACAACTAAAATGCAAGAATAAGATACTACACATCTACCAACCAGAAAGCACTGTCTGAATATAAGCATATAAATGCAAACCTTAAAATATTTTAAATGCAAAATATACAAATATAATCACAGTAACAAACACAAAAGAGAAGTATATTAAGAGTATTCCAGGATTTCTGTGATCACAGGTTTGATTTCATAAATGCAGGAACTGTAACCATGGTGTAAAGGTTTTGATAAATCTTATCAAAATTTCCTAAAATGTCAAGAGTATCAAAAGAAATATAGAGTCAAGTAAAAACATAAACTGAGAGGCATCAGTCAAAGGGTCCTTTTTGCAATTTCATTTCAAAATGCACATTTTTTCATTCATATAACTTTCTCAAACGTCTATTTACTATAATTTACTACCACAAGGCTCCTCTATGGCCTTCAGTTACAAGTTTGGGTATCCTAGATTCTTCAAAGAAAAAATTTGCCTTGTATGTAAAATGGTGCAATGCAGCAATGGCTAAACCGACAAGGTCATTTTTCTACAGCACAAAAACCTAAAAACTGAAATTTATTAACAGAAAAACTGTAGTTTACAGGAAAGGCCCCTTTGAATAAAGGTACCTTACCTTTTGACTGCTGTAAGAGGCCTTAAGTCACAACTCAACTTTCATAAATTGCTACCAAAAAATTAGGGTGTGGCATATTAGCAATCTCAAGGTCACGCTTTAAAAAAACGAATCCAAATTAGTAAAATACTTAAAATAAAACAGACAGCTTTCCCTGTCTGTCAAGGTAAACGATGTAAGCTGAGGTTCCCCCCCCAAAAAAAGAAAAAAGGAAGAAAGTTGATAGCTCATACCTCGATGCATTGCTGTGTAGCGAACTGTCCTCCTCTTGGCTTTTGTCCTTATTTCTCATCATCTTTTAATTCTTAAATATTTAGGGGGAGGGGGAATCTGTGTTTGCTTTGAAGTCCTGTGCCCAGGTATTTACTGTCAAAAGTTGAAAGAAAGGTAAGGTCCCAGCTTCTATCGATGGTTTTTATTATCAGGAACAAAGTCCTGACGATGTAACGATATTGTTATAATACAACAGCGGTAAGCACCAAAAAACAAAATATTTCTATTTTTTCCTTAAAAAAAAAACAAAAACGGACAAACCGAACAGGGGGAATCATCACTATCAATAAGGAAAGTTTCTCAAAGTAACACACTGGATACAAATAACAATCTCTGTATCTTATTGCGTCATCCAGGAATTTCTCATATTTACAGAAAATAAAGCAAACTTATACATATAAATCTTTAAAATAATCACTAACGATCATGGACTTACCTGATCCATGTAGTAGGTCCAAAGCGAGAGTCCTATTCTAGTAGTAGAAAAATATCAGATCCCAAATAATTAAAAATAAAAACAAAATTCTCCGTTACAAAAACGAAAAATAAATACAATAATCCTCCAATATGTTAACTGGTCAAAAAAATAAAGCAACAATTAATACTAAAACGGGTCCGGAAGAAAAAAAACCTCATTAGGAGAGCGCACAAAAATGGAGGTGCGCCATGGCTTCTAAGCTGGAAAAAACAACGACCTGGGCTCTCAGTACGGCTGCTTCTTTCCAACAAGGCACGAAAAGAAAGCTCCTAAAAGCTGCTTTTCTCCCTTAAAAAGGCTCGAATCGACCCCAGTAAGTCACTAGGAGAGGCAGGGGGCTGCGGGGGCCCCCTGAGGCTGCCCGAAAGTTAGGGAAAGTTGCGTAAAGTGAGGCGAAGGCAGGGAGCAGAGCGCGCTCTCTCTAAGGCACAGCCGCCATCTAGAGCCTCCTTCCCAGCTCTGAGAGCTCTGCCTTTGATTGACACTCTCTACATTTACCCCACAACTCAGGTGATGTACCATAGACCCACCCCTTCATCTCCACCAAAAAAAAAAAAAAAAGAAAAGAAAGAAAAAAAGAGATCCTCCATCCCAGGGAGCCTGAGGACCCCTACCCCCACACCTCCCTGCCCCTCCAGACCACCCCATCAAGGGGAGGAGGGAGGGTTTCTTAACCCCCTCTGGCTCAAGCACCCTTTTTAAGCCAGAGAGAAATGTAATTTGTTCCTTTTGTCTAAAGATCTGCTAAATATTTCAGTCCTTGAGCTAAAATAACTTCCTCTCTGGACAGGAAGTGGTGTTTTATCAAGCCATTTTGAAAGAGGGATAATTCTTAGAGAATATAAAGCTGAAGTTAAGTATTAATCTTTTATAAAATTAACCCCCCATGGGTAAAATGGTTTCTAAATAAAAGCAAAACCTCAATTTCATAAATTAAATTCAAGTCTTGCCTTCTTTATGAAGCCTAAAAATTATCTAAAGACAAAGTTTAAGGGGGAATTTTCCATCCCAACTGGGGAAAAAGGGGTACAACTCAACAGCGCCTCCCTAGTGTTCAGTTCCATTAGAGCAAAAATTAATGCAACTAGCTTTTATCCAAGAATCTCAATTTTTCTTTAAATCTTAATAAAATTCTCTAACCCATTATATATAACCTTGCAAACTTCACCAAAAAATCCTCATAACCACAATATATTTACTTCACACGGAGTCAGGCAAAACAAAGATCTTAAATTCAAGAGCATGGAACTTCCATGGGCACCCTTAAATAACAAACCCAAGAAACTCCACCTCCAAACCAACACAACACATATATCCCAACCATTCCCTTTTATTTCAAATCCAATTCTAAATATATACACCCATTTTGAGAATGGCAAATTAATAACAATTGGTCCTATCTGATGGCAAGTTATCAAAATAATGTCATAGGGCAAATTCTCCTAAATACCAAAACCATGAGATCTTTGGAAACAAAATGACCACTAATGCCAAAAACAAATAATTTAACACATTTCTCTCAACAAGCACCCCAGAAAACACTCACACATCCAAAAAACTCAACTTTCCTCACCTAACATTATAGTATGCCAGTACAATGTCCTCCCCTCACTGAAGAAATCCATTTTAGGTTTATACCTAACAAAAGCAACAATGTTGCATCTAGGTAGTAAAAATCCATAATCAAAACCTAGTTTCAATTCTGTACTTTCTACAAAACATAAATTTTCTACCAAAATCAAAATCCAAAATTCCACTTTTGATTTATACAGACCAACCACCTCAAATCAGTCAATGAGAATATTGCATATGTATTGATCAGAGATGTGGGCACTATGGTATTTGACATTAATCACACAAAATGATTATTTCTCACCAAAAGAAAAAAAAATTCAAGCTGAACTCTTCCTTGTTATCTGTATAATGGGAAAATATAATCAACAAGTCATCTGGTCCATCAAAATGAAGCCTACCCCACCTTTATAAGTTACTAAAACTGGTATTAATCAATTATCAATAAATGGAACAGCAGCATTCACTTAGAATTCAAACAATAATCTATGACACGGCATGATTTATTTATTCTAAATTCCTAAACAGATTAAGAAAAATACAAGATAAAAGCCCTATTTCATATTTATTTAAAATGTATTATAGACATGATTGCCACCAAAATTTTAAGTCCCTTTATGAATACCCTAAGGACACTTCCATATAAATCCAACCTCTTCCCCTGATATTAACCATTAAAACAACAGGAGGTATCAATTTAAATGTTCAGATGAATATTCTACTATAAGACATAGTATTAAAAAGCATGGGTAAAAGAGACCTTTTCCATCAACACAAAATAACCCATAAAAATATTTTATAACTCATCCTGAATTTTGAGGCAAAAGGCATTTTGTTTTATAAGCTCATTACAATCTCATGGCAAATTAAAATTCCTATTATTATCCCTTGGTAAGTTATTTTCCAAGATGTTTCAAGAAAGCACAAAATGGCATTTCAATCAAACAACCATCTCTTAATGCACAAATGAATTTCCACAACTTTGTGAAAAAAGACAAATCTTATTCAACCAAGTAAAACATCTTCCAGCACACCATTTCCATTTTACCAGCTTTATTCAGTACATTTTACTGCTGGGGAACTGTAAAGGTCAAAGTGTTAAGGCAGTAATTGAACATTTAATGAAACTTCAGCTTAAAAAAAAAAAAGCCCAAACTGAGAAATTTTAAAGTGTTAGAAATTTTATTAAAGTTAACATTCCACAAAATCATACCAATACAAGTCAAACTGCAAAAACTTCCAGGTATACAAACTAACATCTGTGTTAATGTGCCATCTTTCTTCTCCAAATGTCAAAAATGTACTTGTTTTAGTGATACAAAAAGTCTTTAGAAAGTCAAATCCACTGTCCATTTGTGCTGGGTAAGAAACCTATGTCTTCATTTCATGAAATCCATGTTAAAAGAACCCTGTCTTGGTTGTTTATTATCACAGCACTCTTGTATTAATCCATTTTCCTCAATTCCCCATAGTGGACTGCCATCTTGTTTTCTCAGTGGTAGGGTCCATTTGAGACTCTTCAAGCTGACTGGGTGCTTGATGAAAACATTAAAAGAAAAAAATGCTGTTGGAATACCAATAATCTTACTCCTTCAAACAGAGAACATCCACCCACCTTGAAGATACTCTTACCATACACAAAGTTTTAATTTTGTAACAGCTTTAAACTATGAAACTGTAGTATATTAAAATTGTATGCACTGCACACACTTCTCAAGGAGAATCATGGCAAGACCGCAAACTGTAACAAAGTTCTTCTACTGTCACAGATACATATGTAACTATAGAAAAGTGGCAGTGAACAGTCAAATTTTACATACTTAATGTTGTTACACTGTCAATATGGTAAGTAAAAACAAAAATTCAAATTCAAAATCCTGGAAAGCTAAATTACACCAACACTATGGATTCTAAATCTCAATGCAGAAAACTTTCCAAGCTTCTTCAAATAAAACTAATTATGGAAAAGAATTTTGAGATTAAGGGGGAAAAAAAAAACCACACACCAAAGCAGTGGGTAACAGCATAGTTTTCCAATTCAACAGATGTTAATTAATTTTGCTTAGATAACACAAAGGGCCAATAGAGATACCACCATCTTCAGCTACTTATTTGAGAATACAGGAAATATGTAGCAACTAGGAAAAAAATGATCAAAAATGCAAAATACCTACCTGGCCTATATGATATTTGCCATAAATTGCTATCAGATTTCAAATTAAATACAAGTAAAATACTCCTGTTGCCAAAATATCAAATGTTACTAATAGAGAAACAAATCCATTACTTAAATAATTTGAACTAAAGGGATTAAGTGGGAAGTCAGGATATTCTATTAAATAAATGATCCTGATCCATCATGAGCAAACATAATTACAAAAATAAGTTTTAACTCTGGTCTTCTCTACCAATTTTGCAGCTCTCAAACTAAATTTGTAGACATAAAGTCTGGCTGACTAGGAGATTATTAAATATAAGGCATTTTTGCTCTTCAAGTAGTTAAATCTTATCTCCTAAACTATAATTAGGATTTGTTGTCTACATATACAAAATAAATATCTAACTTAGTAAACTACTTGATAACCAAGAGACACTGCCACTCATATTAAAATACGACTAAAAATGTGTCACAACATCAGTAATAAACATCAAATGCAAGATATTTCTCCTTAACATACTTTCCTGATTTCTCTCCACCCTAAAATAAGAACTCATTCATTCTTCATATCAATAAAGTATCTTCATTCCCTAAAACTAAGGTATATTTCTATGTATAAGTATAAAGATAAAAATACCATTTTTCTTGCACTGTTTATTATAATTTCTCCCCAATCTCTATCGTTACAATGCAAGATCAAGCTCTAAATGAAGTTGGGGATGTAAACACAATTATGGATCAATGAC